ATGATAATCATAATAATGATAATCATAATAATGATAATCATAATAATGATAATCATAATAATGATAATCATAATAATGATAATCATAATAATGATAATCATAATAATAATAATCATAATAATAATAATCATAATAATAATAATCATAATAATAATAATCATAATAATAATAATAATAATAATAATAATAATAATAATAATAATAATAATAATAATAATAATAATAATAATAATAATAATAATAATAATAATAATAATAATAATAATAATAATAATAATAATAATAATAATAATAATAATAATAATAATAATAATAATAATAATAATAATAATAATAATAATAATAATAATAATAATAATAATAATAATAATAATAATAATAATAATAATAATAATAATAATAATAATAATAATAATAATAATAATAATAATAATAATAATAATAATAATAATAATAATAATGATAATAATAATAATGATAATAATAATAATGATAATAATAATAATAATAATAATAATGATAATAATAATGATAATAATAATGATAATAATAATGATAATAATAATGATAATAATAATGATAATAATAATGATAATAATAATGATAATAATAATGATAATAATAATAATGATAATAATAATAATGATAATCATAATAATGATAATCATAATAATGATAATCATAATAATGATAATAATAATGATAATCATAATAATAATCATAATAATGATAATCATAATAATGATAATCATAATAATAATAATCATAATAATAATAATCATAATAATAATAATCATAATAATAATAATCATAATAATAATAATAATAATAATAATAATAATAATAATAATAATAATAATAATAATAATAATAATAATAATAATAATAATAATAATAATAATAATAATAATTATTATAATAATAATAATAATAATAATAATAATAATAATAATAATAATAATAATAATAATAATAATAATAATAATAATAATAATAATAATAATAATAATAATAATAATAATAATAATAATAATAATAATAATAATAATAATAATAATAATAATAATAATAATAATAATAATAATAATAATAATAATATAATAATAATAATAATAATAATAATAATAATAATAATAATAATAATAATAATAATAATAATAATAATAATAATAATAATAATAATAATAATAATAATAATAATAATAATAATAATAATAATAATAATAATAATAATAATAATAATAATAATAATAATAATAATAATAATAATAATAATAATAATAATAATAATAATAATAATAATAATAATAATAATAATAATAATAATAATAATAATAATAATAATAATAATAATAATAATAATAATAATAATAATAATAATAATAATAATAATAATAATAATAATAATAATAATAATAATAATAATAATAATAATAATAATAATAATAATAATAATAATAATAATAATAATAATAATAATAATAATAATAATAATAATAATAATAATAATAATAATAATAATAATAATAATAATAATAATAATAATAATAATAATGATAATAATAATAATGATAATAATAATAATGATAATAATAATGATAATAATAATGATAATAATAATGATAATAATAATGATAATCATAATAATGATAATCATAATAATGATAATCATAATAATGATAATCATAATAATGATAATCATAATAATGATAATCATAATAATGATAATCATAATAATGATAATCATAATAATGATAATCATAATAATGATAATATATAATAATAATAATAATAATAATAATAATAATAATAATAATAATAATAATAATAATAATAATAATAATAATAATAATAATAATAATAATAATAATAATAATAATAATAATAATATAATAATAATAATAATAATAATAATAATAATAATAATAATAATAATAATAATAATAATAATAATAATAATAATAATAATAATAATAATAATAATAATAATAATAATAATAATAATAATAATAATAATAATAATAATAATAATAATAATAATAATAATAATAATAATAATAATAATAATAATAATAATAATAATAATAATAATAATAATAATAATAATAATAATAATAATAATAATAATAATAATAATAATAATAATAATAATAATAATAATAATAATAATAATAATAATAATAATAATAATAATAATAATAATAATAATAATAATAATAATAATAATAATAATAATAATAATAATAATAATAATAATAATAACAATAATAACAATAATAATAATAATAATAATAATAATAATAATAATAATAATAATAATAATAATAATAATAATAATAATAATAATAATAATAATAATAATAATAATAATAATAATAATAATAATAATAATAATAATAATAATAATAATAATAATAATAATAATAATATAATAATAATAATAATAATAATAATAATAATAATAATAATAATAATAATAATAATAATAATAATAATAATAATAATAATAATAATAATAATAATAATAATAATAATAATAATAATAATAATAATAATAATAATAATAATAATAATAATAATAATAATAATAATAATAATAATAATAATAATAATAATAATAATAATAATAATAATAATAATAATAATAATAATAATAATAATAATAATAATAATAATAATAATAATAATAATAATAATAATAATAATAATAATAATAATAATAATAATAATAATAATAATAATAATAATAATAATAATAATAATAATAATAATAATAATAATAATAATAATAATAATAATAATAACAATAATAACAATAATAATAACAATAACAATAACAATAATAATAATAATTTATCCTTCTAAACCTATTATTCAATATGCTCAGTAATAACAACAACAATAACAACAACAATATTAGCAGCAACAACAAAAACAATCAAGTCTTACATGACATAAATATCATGCATTACATGGTAAAAACTGCTTTACAAATATGTGTAAAAGAAGATTATGAACGCATCTATGTAATATGATTAAACTATGAGCTCAATTTTTTACCATTTTGATATTCATTGTACAATAATATATGTGATTGTTTTAATGGAAATAATGACACACACACACACGTCCGGAAACGGACCTCCGTACGGACCTCAACGTTTGGGCGTCTTCCTGATGAATTTTTTTGATGAAAGTTTTTGAGCATGTTCTTCATCAAGTCTAGTTTATTCATACCAAATTTCAGCTAAAACTTCAATCGAGAAGGCAGTCAAATGATTTTTGGAAGTTAACTGTGCACTTTATATACATATAAAATGCAGTTAACTTCCAAAAATTAACTGCATTTTATAGACATGAACTTTCCTCTCTCTCTCTCTCTCTCTCTCTCTCTCTCTATATATATATATATATATATATATATATATATATATATATATATATACATACATACAATTAAAATAAAAACTAAATTAATGACACATTTACTATAATAGTAAATCTTAGACTAAAAGTCTAAAATTATGTTTGACTATGTACAATATGAAGTCATAGTACCATGTCTTTTCCTTTAACATAAGTTGAATCTTTTTCCTTAAAATTGGCAATTTTTAGATTGACGAATTATAACGATTTTACAAGTTTCATTGATTTGTATATCCTGATAGTAAATCTTAAGAATTTGAAAGCAACATTGAACAGTTTGAGTACACGATACTGGTTCATTGTGTAATTCTTTCTCTTCCATTTTTCAAAAATTAAACGGTCACGTTGAGTCAGCTTCATATGATTGATTGTCATCAAATAGATTCAGTTGTACATTACATGATTGACTACAAGTGAGGTCTTACAACTTCCTAAGCATGTAGTTATTTTGATATTTTTCCAATCTCGATGGAAAATGGTATGATCAATGATAAGTATATACCTTTAAAGAATCACTTTTTCTATAGATATTATGAAAATGTAATGCTCCTTGCATAATAATATTGGGTGTTTGATAATGAGAAAATTTTGATTTTAAGGCTATACTATCAATTAATGGTTTGCTTATGGGATGTTTACAAAAGTTTGATCAGTATCATTTTCAGCGTTCATCAATTGCTTGGGTCCTTTGTAATTATATTCTATAAACACAAATATGTAACACAATATTACGTATTTAATGACAAGTATTTTTTGTTCGTACGAAGTGATCCCAACTTTGTCGAACTTTGTGATCTGAAAAATCCATCTCAAATTTTTAACAAATGTAAACTGAGTTGGTCAAACTATTCGTTAGATTCCCACTATCATCTAATGACATAGTTAAACATATAATATATGCATCCCGTGCAACACACGGGTAAAGAATCCAGTTTAATTATTAGCGAAATTATCATGACAGTATATTAATTTTCGAAAATAACTTACGAAGTATGACATTTTCTACCATTAGAACAAATCATGCATCACGGTCCATGATTCCCTCTGGTTTGACCAAACCTGGCCTTGTGCTTCTATACACTACACACATGTGTATACGTGCAGAATATATTTTAATTAGAAAGCTAAAAATCCGATAAATTTACAAAACATTACGTAATGAAGAAAAAACGTAACGTGTGATGATAAAAAATACACACAAATATGGAAACAGATAGATAGTAGAAAGAGGGGGGAAGAGACATGGAAAGTGTGCATTGTCGCACGGGAGACACCGCACTGTTGATCTGAGAGTGAAGGAGGGGAAGGGTCAAAAAGGCAGGATCCTAACCACTGTGCAAAATGTAATCAAAGGGGAAGTTAAGAAAGAAAGCATATAAACTCCAACAATTATAATCCCCCCATTATTTTGACATTTGTCGTTTCCTCATTTGCCACCACACAATTTCTCCCACAATTTTGTACATCCTGTCTCTCTCTATATGTATATATCATCCCCATTGTATACATATAAAGTTGTATATATTTATGTACTATAATACGTCTTGAATTCATTGAATTCGTAATGGTAGTGTAAACGTATGAGTTGAAGCTAGTGTGTGGAGTAAATAAATGGAATATGCATTTATTCATATCATAGTACAGTCGTAGCAGTAGAATAGACACACATGAGAGATCATCCACAGTGAATTTAGAGATAGAGAGAGAAAGGGAAAGCTTAGCTTTACAATTCCGCAGCACTGAGAACAAAGAGATGCAATGGGTCCATACTCTTCTTAGCTACCAATTATAAACCCTTTTTATTTTGGTACCCAGACACGATCCGCTTCTGCCGCTTCCATCCGCCACCATACCGGCCCCGCACCGCCCTTTCTCCGGCCACCACCACTTTCTTAGCTTTTATTTCTGTCTCTTTGCTTGATTTTACACATACCTTTTCATCGGCATAGCTAGCTGGCTAGCTAGGGAAAGAAGATGGACGATCACTACGGGATGGCGGATCTGAGACAGTTTATGAGCAACACGTCGCTTTTCACTTCACTTCCGCCGCCGCAGCAGGCGCCGGCGGACATGCTGTCGGCGCACCACCATCACCACCAGTACGAGATGGTCATGGCGCCGATGATGGTGTCGGCGGGGGGCCCTCACCATCACCATGAGTTCCTTGCGGATTCCAGAACCAACGCTGCCTCAGCTGGCGGCGGCGGAGGTGGGGTGGCCAGTGGCGGTGCTGGGTTTACTGGGCTGGAGCTGGTGGAGAATGGAGCCGGCGCCGGCGGGCTTGGGTTCGACGGCGGCGGCAACGGGCGGTGGCCTCGGCAGGAAACGCTCACTCTTCTTGAGATCAGATCACGACTTGACTCCAAATTCAAAGAAGCTAATCACAAAGGTCCTTTGTGGGATGAAGTATCTAGGTATTGTATTATCCAGCTCACAGTATTTGACCTAAATCGTTTCTCCTCTTTTCTTTTATTATTAATTACTAATATTGATGTATTCTTCGAATATTATTCCTTATATTATGGTTTTTGTGATCATTATTATCACCGACTAATCGGACTGACCAAACTTCTCCAATTGTGAGCTAAAAAACAAAGGAAATGATTTGTTTTCCATTTAAATTCATGTATAATTAATCAGCAAAATTTTAACTTTATGATGTTAATATACCCTATTACAAAATTGACATAAAATAGGATCGATGTGTGTGTGTGTTTGAGGTGATTTACTAAATTTAGACACACGTATGTAATATTACTCTGAATAATATTTTTTTATAATTACATTAATTATTAATTATAGTATACCATCCAAAATTAAAGCTATTTCTTTCCCCAAAAAAATGAGTACAAAGTATCTTATCAAATTGGGGAAGATGCAGACCGCATGGCTAGCAAAGAAAACAAGATTCGCCATATGAGTAAAATATCATCAGAATCATTAGGGTTTTTGTTTGCACTATACTATTAATTACAATAAAATTATTATTATATTGTTATTATATTATACGGAGTAATTATTATTTTGATTAATTTTTGTAGAATAATGGGTGAGGAGCATGGATATCAAAGGACGGGGAAGAAGTGTAGGGAGAAATTCGAGAACTTGTACAAATATTACAAGAAAACCAAAGAAGGGAAAGCAGGAAGGCAGGATGGGAAACACTACAGGTTCTTCAGGCAGCTAGAAGCTCTCTACGGCGGAGCAGATCAAACCAACCACCACAACAACACCAGCGGTGCGGCGGCCGACTACGTCATGGGGACCCATAATCATCATCAGACTGACTCCGGCGGAAACACTAGTTTCTACGGCGGAAACCCCGTCGGTGGCCAAGAGAGCTACACCCCATACCGCCAAGCAGAACCATCAAAGCTCTCCGCGGACAGCCTGAGCCTCTCCAATAATGGTTCTTTGGACTTGGGCTCCACTTCGTCCGATGAAGACGACAACGACAGTGGAGAAAAGAAGAGGAAGGGGAGGCGGAGGCGATGGAAGGCGAAGATAAAAGAACTCATAGACGAGAAGATGAGAAAGCTCATGGAGAAGCAAGAGGAGTGGTTGGAGAAAATAATGAGCGGGATGGAAGAGAAGGAGCAAGAGAGGATGGTGAGGGAAGAGGAATGGAGGAAACAGGAGATTGACCGGATGGAGAGGGAACAAAGGTTCTGGGCTAATGAAAGAGCTTGGATCGAAGCGCGTGACGCCGCTCTGATGGAGGCGTTGTACAAATTGAGCGGGGGCGGTGGCAGTAACAATAGCAGTAACAGTAACAAAGTTGCTGAAATAATAATGTCATCCTCATCTCGACGAGCTCCCGACGATGAAGACGAGGAAGAAGTGGTGCCTCCCCCGCCCGTTACGCCTTTCGACGAACAAAACTGGGCTGCTGCATCAGTGGCAGGAGGGGATAACACTCACAATGAGATCACCAAGCTGATCCAGCTGAGGACTAATATGGAGTCCAGATTCCAGCAGCATATTGGGTGTTCAGATGATGTTTTGTGGGAGGAGATTGCTAACAAGATGTCTTGTATGGGCTATGACAATGCTGCTGCTTCCATGTGTAGAGACAAGTGGATCAGCATTAACAACTACTTCCTCAACAAGTGCCACACCCTCAACAACAACAGCAAAAAAAGGAAAGAAAACAGTTCTGAAAATTGTTTTAATAATTATTATTATAACAATAACCACCTCTTCCAGAACAGCCCCAACAACAATGATCCTCATCTTCAGCATGGGGGTTCATATTCTGCTGCTGATCATCAGCAAGAACAACAACAACACTCCAATGATGATCATCATCAACCTAATGGCAGTCTTAGGTTCTTGATGGGTGACAACCACATTAATGCTGAGAATTTGTGGGAGAGTTATGTGTTGAAACCGAGCAAAGGGGAAGAAGAATAGTCCAAAAGACACAAACCGGCAAGTCCTGTAAAACATCATTAATTAATTAATTTAAGGTATGTATGTCTTGCTGCTGGTATGGCTTACTGGTTTTTCAAGCTTGCTAGCTGGTGTAGTTGGGAACTTGGGATATAGATGAAGATCCATCGATCGATCGATCGAGAAGAGAGTAAAATTAATTGATTGCAATTTGGATTGATTACTGTTAAACTGATATTTTTAATTATAATATATTATTACTATTTTTTATTGAATTAGAATATAATTGATCTGATGGAGTTCTTTGATCTGTTTTTACCATCATGTTTTGTCTCCCACATGCTTCTTGGTCTATGTTTCTTCAACTATAGACATTGCAATTTCTGCTTCATGTTATTTTTCTGTTACTCCTAGAATTTCTGTTTTTTTTTTGTTCGTTCTTTCTTTCTCTCTCATTATTCTGGTTGTATATTCTTTTCCTATAAGAATATATGTAGACTTATAGGGCCTGACTTTTGGTACTTAGGTGATTGAAAAGAGCACTAATAAATGTTCACTAATGTCTATGGTACTTGAGAGATGTCACTTACGAGTATTATTATAATATAGATATTAGATCCTTCACTTATGACGAAGACATTATAATGCCACTTTAATCAATTTCCAAATCTTAATATTATTCTGTAATATAGGGTGTACGTCTATTCCAAAAGTGGAGCAATCATCCACCATAATTAAGAAAAAATGATGTTATAGGGAAAGCTTTTTATTTTGGTAAAGTTAGATATATACATAGATGCCAAAAATATATGCACAACTTCAACAGGCATACCCCTGAATAAATCATCAAAAGTCCATAATCAAAACTAAGAGTGAACAAAGAATAAAAAACCGACCGATTAACCGATCAAAATCGAACCGAATGAAACTGAAACTCGCTAAATCATTGGTAGTCTGGTTTACGATTTATGCTTTTTGGTTGGAAACCGATCGAATCAAAACCGGCTAACAAAAACCAACTAAAATCGACCCCAATCAATACAAACCAACCGAAACCGACTCGAGTTGTGCGGCTTTGGTTCTCGATTTGACCTTTTCTATAACCGACCGCCTAGAATTCGAACTAATTAAACATCGAACCCTTAAAATCGAAACCGACGAAACTGAATCAACGGACACCCCTAATCAAAACATAGCCAGAACACCAAATTCAAAACCACAAGGTGTAACAGCTAAAGCTCACCAACGGTGAGAAAGAAAAAGTCACAACTATGATTTGCAACCTGATATATTCAAGAGATTATAGGAATGTATGTATGGCTAAAGTTTCTAATGAACTGAAAAAATATGACTTTATATACTTTAGTGGCTATAATACGGAGTAGTAGTTTTAAGAACTACAATTATGTTCACATTTGTACATACAATAATGACCGTCACATATATTTATATAGGGAAAACTATCAATTTGGTAATCGCATAGTACTATCACGAAAAAGTCAATTAGGTCCTCGTAGTTATACAAAAAACAATCAAATCCCCGAACTTTGGAAAAACATTCAATGGAGTCCATTTGCAGGTTACTTGCGATGTCAACAAGTCACCCGCTGACTTGGCACACATGTGGCAGCCCAATCAGGAGTGACTTCGCTGACGTGGCGCCTATTTGGAAGTCTAGTCAGCCATTTGCTGAAGACGTGACGCACACGTGGACCGCCACGTGTGCGCCACGTCAGCGGGTGACTTGTTGACATGACAAGTAACCTGCAAATAAACTCAATTGAACATTTTTACAAAGTTAGAGGATTTGATTAATTTTTAAAAAAGTACGAGGACCTAATTGACTTTTTTGAGTTAGTACGAGGACCAGATTGACAGTTTTCCCATTTATATATACTAACTTTAATTCCACTTTTGTCCAAGGAAATAGTTTTTTATTTATACAATACCTTGTAGACAAGCACACACTTTGTTATGCACTTTCAACCTTGAAACTTTTAGAGACCGTTTGGCAACACTGTTTTTCGGCTTATCAGGCTTATCAGCCAGCTTTTTCACCAAACATGTAACTTTGCTTTCGCACGCTGAATTGTGTAATAAGTAGAGAAAGTAAGGTTTGAGTTACTTTTCTGGCTGTATTGGCTGAAGTTACTGTAGATGACCATTTTAGCTATTTTTACATAAAACTTTTTCTTTATTTTATTAATAAAATATTTTTTAAAGATAATTTTTCTTAAATCAGTAGAATCAACCAATGCAGCCACATTTGGCAAAACTTCATAAATTTCAGCAGAATCAGCCAAAACAGCCGACTTTAGTGCTACCAAATGGGTTCTTAGTGTGAAAATTGTATTGAATATAATTCCTTACTTTCCAAATTGTGTAGATTGTGCAGCAAAAAGCCAATTTAACATATTCGCTAAGAAGCCTAGCTCCTCCATACTCTTTAAAGCAACATTGAAGAGTACTTTTGATCTTGGAAACCCTCTTGCTCAGTCCCAGCCTGCATATTTGTATCCATATTAATTATTATCCTAGCCACTATATTTTGGAAGAAGAGATGCTCAACATCCTGAGGTTGTAAATTACAATAAATATAGTTTATGTTTATATCCAAGTCGAGTAGCCTAGCCTTATTCCTTTTCCTAAACCATAACCAATTACACGCATGAAATGAGTGTTGAAAAAAGGCATAACCAATTAAGTACAGCCAAAAAAAGCATAACCAATATAATTAATGAAAGAAAATATAGGTCGAATATATATATACCTTAATACTCCGTAGTTAAAAGCCATCCGAGGTTTCCCAATGCTTCAACTCTGAAGCGATCATGGGATTTAAAATGAGGTAAGTTCCCGCATTACGTACCCAATGAGCTCAACCAGAACGTCCAGAAGCTTTGTGTAATGCCTCCAAAACTGGTACCAAGAGTTGTTCAAGTATCAACTAACTTTATGCCTTCAAAACCTATTATAGTACGAGTATTAGAAATTACTTCAAATAGGATTAAAACTGTGACAAAAACTCAAAATATGACCATATTAGTTGACGTGCACTTGTCGTGAGGTGCACTCAAAATAATAATCAATACAACACTAATACGTAGTATAGTGAAGTAAGGTTCGTATCCACAGGGAAAGGGACACTTCTCTTTTTAATTAACTAGTAACAAAGGGGGTTTTAGATTTGATTTGATTTAATTAACACTAAGATGAATGACTTAAATGAGTTTAATTAATGAGAACAAGACTTGGCTTTGCTTTTATCCACTTAATGAAATGTTCGTCGATCCCGGTTATATCTTTAACTATCTTCCTCTCGAATACTCAATCGAGGAGTATATCCAGTTCATCGAGGGTAGTTATTAATAACGAGAAGCGTTCATTAATAAAACTTACTATCGAGTCAATATAGAACAAGCGCCGTATATTAACTTGATAGTAGCAATAAACTTAAGATGAAAACGATTGAGATTGACAACCTCAACACAAGCGGTTTATTGGTTTAATCAATATAATTAATTCCCCTTAGATTATTAACCATGAGATGCATGCATTAATAATCCAAGTTTACTACCATGAAAGGACCGAATTAATAACAAGCGTATTAATCGACCGATTCTAGTATTAATTAATATATGAAACAAAACTAGTTGATCCTTTAAGTAATGTTCAAAATATTAATATGAAATATGAGTAGGAATTAATTAATACTCAAGAAAGAATATTAAAGAAGATGAATCCTACTATAGTTAATATCAAGATGTTAACTAATTGTCATCTTAGTAACACTCCCCAATATTAACATAGAGGAAGAAATAATTATTACTATAACTAATGTCAAGATGTTAACTAATTATCATCTTAGTAACACTCCCCAACATTGATATAGAAATAGTATTTAAAGGAAGAATTAATATTCAAGGAAGAAGATTAAAGAGAATAACTCACAACTTACAAATTCATTAAGCTTCAAAGTAGCAAAACCAAGATGGAAGGGTTTAGCTCTTCATTTGGAGACTAAACATGCTATAAAAATATAAAAGAAATACTATTCTAAACTGAGCTTAAGAGTATGGAAGAAGGGATGATTAAAAGTGAAGGAAAATGGGGCTATTTATAGGTGTTTTTCAACACCTTTGGCCGGGTACCCGACCGGGTAAAGTTCCCACCCGACCGGGTGCATGTCAAAATCAAATATCTTCCACGTTCTGGCGATCTTCAGCATGTTCTGGTGTTCCGGGTCAAGTCGGACCCGACCGGGTGAAATACCTCACCCGACCGGGTGATGTAATTTCCTGAGCAGTTTCGCATTTAAATTTCTCACCCGACCGGGTGCAATACCTCACCCGACCGGGTGATTGTCATGGGCAGCCAAGAATTATTTTTCTTCACATTCAAAGTCTTCCTTTCCAACACCATAAATCCTAACTCTACTTTACAACTTACAAATGAGAACTAAAATACAATTACAACTAAAATCACACAAATGTTTATAAACTAAATAAAATGGTAAACAATCCACACAAATCAAACATAAAAAGACACATTTATGCACTACTAATTAGTGCATATCATTAGTCCTTTTGGAAACATACCTATTTTTTCGTTTCATTCTTACCCTTCTTTTAAACATGAGTGAAAGATAGTCAAGAGTCATAATTGAATGTTTAATTCATAATAAATTCGAAAAAAATTCAAAAAACGTAGAAAAATAATTAAAAAATTAATAAAAATATTTATAAAATAAAAAATTAAAAAAAAATAAAACATTTTTTAAAAAATTAATAAAAAATAGTAAAACTCCATTAAAAAGTTAAAACATATATGGATGCCTTTCCCACCGCCTGTACTTCCTTTCTGCACCACTGCACCACCATCTCTGACCGGTGTAAACAATGTCATTTCATTTCTGAAAATGCCAAAAAATATGGCATATTACTCTTTGAAAATGCCAACATTTTCATTATTTCTGCCAAAAATATAGCATTCCTAATGCAAGTGGCATCCCCCCCCCCCCCCCGGTGACGGGAGGTGGTGCTACTGCCTTCGTGCACCACCACCTCCAACCGGTGTAAAAAAAATGCCATTTTTTCTAAAAACTTCCATTTTTTTCTTCTAAAAATGCCAAAAAATGGCATATTACTCTTTGAGAATGCCAAAATTTTCATTGTTTTCTGTCATAAATATGGCATTCTTAATGAATTTGACATTTTTCCCCTAGTGACTGAAGGTGGTGGTGCTGGAGCGCAGAGGCAGCAGTGATTGTTTTTAATTTTTTTTAAATAAAATTAAATTATTATTATTTAAATATGTTTA